CATTCGAAATGTTCTCGCCGTTTTATTCCGTTTGATTCGCCATAAAACTGGAACGCCGGCGATTTTCAAGAGCGGGTCGAGGATTCGAATTTGTCGCAAACGCGCTTGCTAAACACCAGAGAAGAAAAAAACGGTTCGAGCAACGAACTCGGAGGATATTTCGCCATTTCTGGTGGAGCGCCATTAGGCGAGTTAAACAGCCGGAAAATCGGCGATTGTGTTGTTTGGTTGGGAAATTGCACGCTCGATGAGACGGTAATTGTAAGAATCGGTTTGAATATTGTAGACTCGAAACGGGAAAAATTCTTTATCATCGTGGATTCTTCGATTTTGATGATGTATTATGGGTTGCCTGGTTTGCAGGAGGTGCATTCGTATTGTTATTAAATTAATTATCCTAAAAATTAATTAGAAGTTACAGAAGTTTTATTGTTTCACAGGCATTATAGAAATTCGGAGTCTTGGGAGAATTACTAAATTGAATAGATAATAGCCGTATTATTTAGTAATTGTAAAATATTTTTTAAGTTCACTTGATTTAATCGTTAAAGCGTCGTAATTAATTAGGTCGCTAAATTTTTTAATAAACTAATTCTACTGCAAAGTAAATAAGAAATATTTTAAAATATATTTTATTTACCTCTTGGAAATGATCTATAAAATTTTAATTTATTGGTATAATAAAATTCTTAGCATTTCACCTAGGAAGTTATTTCCTTACACAACATGTTTATGGAATTACATGTTTTTCAAAACTACATTTACCAGTAAATGATGAAAAAATGAATTTTATTTTCCGCAATATTTGTTTACCTTTTACGGCCGTTTTCTCCATTGAAATCAAAGGTTAATTGACTGAAATCGTAATAAAATAATGCTATAAGTATACGCAGGTCAAAGTAAAATACATATCTATAGAAAAAAACACATATAGGAGAGGTCTTGCAGTAATTGAGCAATGATTACTACTAATTTAATTGTTCCACTTATTATAGATAAAATAAATCGATTAAATATATTAATCATCCGAACAATGTCGATTGTAATTTCTCTCTTGAATTTCTTGACCTAAATTTGCTACGAAAAATAAAAATTACGGACTTATTAGTTAATTAGCGTCGCTCGAATTAACAATTTCTTACTATCAAAAGTATTAAAAATCCAGTTTTTTAATCCAAAACAATGGCCGACGTACATCTAATTAGCTTAACAGGCGTTAATTGTCGCGACAAAATCAACTCCTAAAATAATTCCTTACACGCTCTCAATTAACAGCAATGATTCACGTTCTATTGCAATTTGCATGCGATAATTAAGTGTGTGCATAAATTCGAGACAATTGCGTTTGATATGAAGAAAAATATTATACGATTAATTGGATAATTAATTTTCTTAACACTTGATAATTATTGCAACATATCACATGACCGTATATTTCATTGTTTCGATTTAATCGGGCGACCTCGTTTCCTTCGGAATACGTACGAAAATGTACCATCACCAGCGAATCAGTTAATGACCTCTGCATCTTTATAGTGCAGAGATATTGTGTAATCAAATAGGAAATTGTTTTATCAATTTTTCGGCAAATATAATGGATATAAACTTGTGGTTATCTCAACGGCGTGGGTAATGATGCAAATCGGATCGTTATAAATTCTTTTAAACAGGGTGTATTGTTGTTTCTCGTATAATCGTCGAGAAATTCCCGAGATATATTTACATTTATAACTAGAATACATAAATATTTAAAGGCTGGTGTAATGTACAAGATTTTCGTGTCAACGGAGATAAAGCAGATTTTTCTGAATTAAATCCATCGGAATTGTATCGCGTTTCTCGATGTGCGAAGTGTAAAGCGTAAAATAAACATGTTATTCGATATTCCTGGTAGTTTTCTCGAATATTGATACATACCTTTCCTCTAATTGCTTTCTTATAATTAATTATGTTTTTTCAACAAACCTACGATTTGTCAAGTTGTTACAGGATTAAAATTTCCTGCTAAAAATAGATAAAAATCTAAACTAAATTTACGTTTTTTGACGAAATTTGATCGAATTTTTAAAATGTATGAAATGCACACTTTGTAGAATAAAGCTTAAACTAAATTGAATTCCTCATATTGATTTAATTAACTAATCTCATAAGCGAGATGTTTAATTAAATTTTAAAATGTACGTAATGCATTGTGGGATAAAAATCGATGAAAAATTGAGGAAAAAAATTCTGAATTTTTTGCGTTAGGAAAATAAATCAACTGAACCGTGATACACACGCATTTGTAATCATTTAAGCGATTTAATAATGGTTTGTTTATGGTTATGTAAGCTTTTTTAAAATTGCTATAATAGATAGTAGCACGTGAGAACGCCGGTTGACTTTCGTTTCGAACTAGGTTAGCGTTCGAATAGGAATTTTTCAACGGATTTGCGAGTATTATTTTACCCCATTTTCGGGGAATTACACCGCACTGTGTAAATTAAATTAATTTTCGAAGTTCAAATATTAGCAGTGATAATTGTAATCGCTTTACGATTCTCGTAATTGTATGTAATAATTAATATTTTCTATCATAAACCATACGAAATGTTTAGCTACCGTCTGGACCCAATAAAAAAAAACGTTTTTTTTTTCATTCGTTAATTATTTAATTATTTCATCACTACAAATCGAGTATTTTATAATTATTATCCAGCAAATTTAATTTGCGTTTTTATGGAATACCTTGAACAAATCCGAATAAATAACATGACAATGTTGATAAATACGAATTATCTTTGCAGGAAAAATATTATACGCATTGTTTGAATTAACTCGATCTCTTGATGTTTAAATAAACTCGTATATTAAAACCGTTTTTAATTTATAATCTATTTATAAGTAGGTAGAGCAAATATCGTTCTCGCATTTTATGGGCATAACGATTTAAAAGCAAAACAATCCTATAAATAAAATAAATTCCATATTCTTTACACCTTTATATTCGCTATAAAATCGAATGCAATCATAAAGTATATCGTATTAACCAACTTTTAAATTCATATGAACATGTATCTGGTAGGTAAATAAAAAAATATATTTTTTTATTAAATGAAAGGGCTTATTTTTTAGATATTGAGATGGAATGGACCTTACTCTCAAAATCGCGGATTTCTTTATACAATTCGTGGGAATTCAGGGACTTAAAATTAGGTTACGGTTAACACGCAACTGTTCATGCTACAATTCAACAAATTTATTGAAAAATATATTAACAATTAAACGTTTAATAGCAGTTTTACAACCCAATAAATTAGTGAGATAAAGGCGAATTTTTACTGCTACGACCAATATAAATTAGAATTAGTGCATCTCTTTACGAGCAATTAATTACACAAAAATCTAAATCGTCATTAATAATATATTTTCCACAAATCTTCAAGCGAATCCACACCAACCAACGTACCTGCCATCAACTTATTCACCATGATCACCCGCCAAAAAAAAAAAACCACTCGAATTTGATCCAATTCCGATCGATTTACATCGTTCACAAATCGCCACACGGGCCAATATCGCCCGCCAATTGGGTATCGGAAATCGAGAACCGCCTTTACTCAACGAGCTCCTCGTGCACTTCGTGGACGAAAACTCGAAAACAGTCGCGAACGGCGTTCAAACCCGCCAAGTCCGAGCGAGAAACAAGTCGGGAGCGAAATCGGAAGTTCGCTCGTCGAGAGAGATTGCCGGTCAGCTCGCTGTGATGCTGATCGGATTCGATTCGGACCGAATTCGGTGCATATCCGATGCTCCTCTAACCGCTGAACAATTTTTATTAGCACGGAAAATTCGCTGAAGGGTGACAACATCGTTGGGGAAAGTCTTGTAACAGCAGATTAAATTGTACCTAAAGAGGAACTCGTTGAAATAAAGATGTTGTAGTAGCATTGGATGCTATATGCTATATATTTCTCTCCCTTAGGGGCTAATGAGGCATTATACATATTCTATTTCGTTGCAAAACTGTTGGATTAGGAGTTTGTGAGCACCTGTAAGGGCTAAATGTTTTCTCTTAGGGGATGAATTTCAAATATCTCAATACCCCTACGAGACATTTTCATTATCTTATAGGTTATTTATGCAATAATACAGTGGTTTTTAATTGCTGTATGGAATAATCTAGTCCCCCTAGGGGTTGAAATTCCAACCCCTGCATGATTTCAATACCCCTATGTACATCATTTAGTTTTAAGGCGTTGTATGTACTGATTTCGTCCCCTTTAGGGATTCAATTTCAAACCCCCTGCATAATTTCAACACCTCTACAATACATTTTTCCTTTCTCTACTTCACTTCTTTCCCTCCATTATACTTTTTTTACACTGTAAAATGCTCCCCGAGCTAAAATTTTTGCTTAATTTTTGCGCTCGTTTTAATTTCCATGCACATAATTTGGTTAAAGTGCAATGTGGAAAAATGTAATTAACAACAATTCGCAATGGAAAGCGCGTGTTTTTTCCGCGCTTTTCGCATGGTTTAGGTTTTCCCACGTTCTACTAGATGGGATAAATTGAACGTGGTGCAATGACGGTCGTAAATTGCTTTAATTGGTGGCATTATTTAAATGCACTTTTTCGCATACAAATCCGATGGTGTGTTGGATCGAAATCAATCAATTTATGCTTTTTTTTAACAATTTTAATCGAGCTGTGCGTACTTGGAGCGACGTGATAAATTACCCGTATCCTGAGTAAATTATATCTTCGAATTTAATGGTCTTCTGCTTAGCGTTATGTATCATTTTTTACGATGGATTATCAACGATTTTTCCCAACATAAATTGACATTTCCGCCGACGGTATATCACAAATTAGTTCGAATGACCCCTTATGAAAACGTTTACAGCGCTAGTTTGGACCTTAGGCAGTCGCATCCTTGAATTACGAGCACTGTTCACGGGAATAATAATATTACGGAATTCTCGAAAGTGGTATTTATTTAGGAAAAAATGTACTTACTGCAAATAGATCTTGAACAAAACCACTTGAGGCATTTTATTCTCATTTTTTTTTCGCTTCACACAACCGGTAACAAAGTCGATATTTTTCGTAATGAGTCAATACTGTTGTTTTGCAATAAATAATATATAATATAATTATTATTATTCAAAGTTAAATGATTGGATAAGCCGTAACTGAAACGAAAACGTGCAATTAAAACTCGGAAAATTCATAAAACTCATAGCGATGATTAACAGAAACAAACAATTTTTATAATGTAGGTATAATAATGTTTATTGTTTTGTCAATCACTGATTTTATACGGAATCTTATTAGTTTTGATAAGATTAAATTGTAAGATAAAAGGATTCGTAGAAAAACAATTAAAGATTCAATCGACGTTCAATTTCTTGAAATTTCCATGGTAACCCAAAATATCGTCGTTCTCCAATTTTTCCGGACGAAGAGATTCGTCTATTTTCATCTTTTCCAATTTATCAAAACGATCTTTGTACTGCTCCAGTTTTCTCATCCACAAATCTAAAAATTTCCAAAAAAATCATCACAATCCTTTCTTAAATTTCATATCTATCCAAATTCAATAGGACTGAAAAATCTACTTGAAACATGTAGACCCCTAGAGCCCATGTAAACCCATATAGACCCATATAGAACACATGTAAACCCTTATAGACCAATATAGACCCAATTATACCCAGGTAGATCCAATTTTCTTAATCCTAATTTGAAATTTTCCAATCCCAATTTAATTTCCAAAATGCATAATTAGAAATTTTCACCTGAAAGTTCCTGCAAGGGTTTTTCTTTGCCGCCATAATCGCCCGGTAGTAATTCTCTCGGGACGTGTTTGTGCAAATCCTCGAGTGTTTTGTGGAAGAAAATCTGCGAATAGTTCGTAAGGAAGCGTGAATTGAAATTAGGATTTGGTTGACTCACCCTCTCTTGGAGATTCTTCGGCAGGAATCGCTTGAAAATCGATATGATGGTATCAACGTACGCGGGGGGATTCAGCAAATGCAGCGCTTTCATTCGATTACAGTGCACTTTCTGGAGAAAAAAATCGATTAATCGATTAATCAAAAAAATGTAAGAAACGAACCTCTAAAATCTGCGCTATGTTTTTGAGCAGGACCGGCGTGAGTTTGCTCAAAACGTTCAAATCCGCATGTTCGTGAGAAATTATGAATATTTCCCCCATTGTCAAGTCTTCGTGGATTCTAATTTCAAAAAGATTGTTCAAACAGTGCGCCATGAATTTGGTCATGTCATAGGAAACGTCATCGAATTTTTTGTATTTTAAAACCGTTATCCTGTACAAGTCCTGCGTCAATTTCGGAAGGACTGCAATCATTCTTGAAAGATAAAAAAATATAATTTAAAAATCGATTGTTATAAAATATTTATTTACCCCGTGTTTAATGCCGGTTGGATTTCCTGCGGTTTGCATGGGTGCATGTTCCTGTACATACTGGGCATCAAATTTCTCATTGTATAATACATATCTAAATTTCCCTTGGTTTTTTCCACACTATACTTACAATTAGTTAGAAAAAATTCGATCATATTGTCACCTAATAATTAAACAATATTGTAGAATGTTTTGCAGTAATTAACGCGTTTATTACTTACCGGGCATTTCAGGAAGGTGGTGCTGAGTTTTCAACCATTCTTTTATAATTTCCAGGTATTCTTTAACATCTGCATCAGTTTTTCCCCAAGCTCTCCTGACACTTTCCCTATCGACTACTAAAATATTCTCCAAGCTCATGTCGATCTCGCAAATCACGAAATTGGTTTGTAATTTGAATTGGAAAACAGTTTATATACCTATAATCGACCAGCAACCTGTTTTTGAGTCTCTAAAATTACGAAATTTGAGAAAAAAACCTAATTATAAATTCGCATAAAAAGTGTAAGTACTGGTACCCCAATTAATTGGCATAATTAATCTTAAATAATTAGATATTAATAATGTGCATGCAGGCAAATTACATTTAGTGTGTGTTTAATGTATGTATCAGGTGCAGTTAAAGAGGTGAATTTTCTTATTCATAGAAGTGGAATAAAATTATTACCAAATTCGCGCATTTCCAGTCTCTTGCTATTTCGATCTAACTGTAGCTATACCTATACATTAATAAAAATTATTGTAGCATTTGGTAACATTGTAAATTGGTTTTTATGTTACCTAAAAACTTTGAATTCAAAAGAAATCACAATAAGTAGTTATGGAATATTTTAATTATTTTTATAACTTCCCATTGAGCAGAAAGGTTAAATTTTTTGGAGACCTAACAAATGCTTCATTAGCACGCGATATAATATTTTATATACCCCTCATCTACAGTTTATAGATTCCATACAAAGGGTGTTTTTTGTTTTGTTTCAAAAATAATAAATATATAATTATTGTTAAAAATGTTACTTAAATTTTTAATTATTACACATCCTAAATATCATTATTATTTATTCACCAACTATGTTTTTTATAATAACATTTTTTGCGATATAATTTACGTTCTCATTAAATTTTGCGCTACAGAAAAAAACAAATTAATAGAAACATTTACTTATTTAATTAACAACGCGAGGCTCGTTTATTTTCCAAAGCAAACACTGCGAATTAAATTTAGAACTCTCGTAGTAAACACGAGTTTCGAGTTGTGTATTAATATTGGCAAGATATACGGTAATTAGGTAAAGTTTTCCCCAACTGGGTTAAACTTGCCACCAAGAATATTCGGGGGAAACGACAAAACGCCTCGCATGATTTATTAATATTAGCGCCATTCAAACCGAAAATAATCCGGAGAAATCGCCGAGTAACGCTAAATAGTAAAACTTTTATTAGTAAGTAGAATTCGTACGACCCCTGTAGTTAATTAATTGACGAGTAACAAGTGATAGCATTCCCGGTGTATATTTATTATTTATAACTCAATTTTAATCGACGTTGAGCTTTTTGAAGTTCCCGTGGTAGCCCAAAATCTCGTCGTTTTCCAGCTTTTCCGGGCGAAGGGATTCGTCGATTTTCATCGTTGCCAGCTTATCGAAGCGCTCTTTGTACTGCTCGAATTTCTTCATCCACAAACCTAAAAAATGCCAGAATTTACCCCACTCTCACCACCCTTTCCTGATTTTAAAATGTTCACCTTCGAGCTCCTTTAAGGACTTTTCCTCGCCGCCCAAATCGCTGGGCAAAATTTCCCTGGGCACGTATGCGTACAAATCTTCCACGGTTTTGTGAGTGTGAAACTAGAAATCGAGATGTTTGTATACCCTGTATATCCTGGATACATCCGAACACTTACCCTATCCTTCAACTTTTTGGGAAAAAAGCTCTTGAAAAGCGCCAGAGCAGCGTCCAAATACGACGGTGGGTTGATCAAATGCAAAGCTTTCATGCGATTACTCTGTACTTTCTGCAAATAAAATGCACGCAACGTTGCCGGTTGTTAAATTTTATCGTACATCTGGAGAAAAATTTGAAAGACGAACCTCTAAAACTTGAGCGCAATTTTTGAGCAACACCGGGGTGATTTGCGTCATAACTTTGAAGTTCATGTGTTCGTAATCGACTATAAAAATATCCCCCATCACCAGGTCCTCTTGTATTCTCACTTCGTATACGTTACACATGTAATGGGCGCAAAATTTGGCCATGTCGCACACACTGGGGTCGAAAACTTTGTATTGAAACACGTTCACCCTGTATAAATCCGGCGTTAGTTTCGGTAAAGAGATGACTATTCTACAAAAAATATTTTAATTTAAATTTTATTGTGGGGTATAATATACTTACCCTGTGTTTAGTGCGGATTGGATTTCATCGGGTTTGCAGGGATGGATGTTCCTGAATAAATCCGGCATTAAATCCCTTATCGAATAGTACATGTCTATGTTTTGCTTCGTTTTCTCCACGCTGTATTTGCAATTTGTTAGGAAAAATTCAATAACATTGTCGTCTGAAAATTGGGGTAATCGTTAGGAAATTTACGAGCAATTCTAAAGTACTTACTGGGTATTTCTGGAAGGTGTTTCTGCGTTTCTAGCCAAATTTTGATGATTTTCACGTATTCTTTGACATCTTGATCGGTTTTGTTCCATGCCTTTCTTACGCTAGCCTTGTCGGTGATCAAAAGGGTATCTAAACTCATGGTTGATGGGAATTATTGTGGAATAACTGCATGGAAAATTGAATAACAACGTATATTGTTTGTTTTATATTGCCCTCACTACCTTGTCGATATGACGGTTAAATTATAATATAACTTTGATACAACATGATAATTTATACTAATTTATATGCCATTAATATGTAATTATGTAAGCATATTTTAATTAAAGCGAAGTACATTTTAATTATGCAGAAATTTATGAAGCGCGTTGCAATTAAAATAATTCGTTTAGGTAAACGAGTTAAATGAAAATTTGGTGGTTTTTCTACATTTTTTTCTTGTTTTCTCAGCAATTGTAAGTTTTATTAAACTTCTGTGATAATTTTAATTTGTATTATGTATTTTTACTGCAAAGATAATACACGTCAGGTGATATTTTTATCAAATTTATTCTTGAAAATTAAAAAATAAAATACAAATTACTTAATTTAAGGTTTTGAAATTAATGTATAAACCGACTTTCGATTGGAACAGGAAACTTTTCGGTTCGAATTCGACCCGCTCGGGAGTCCTTTCGCATTTTTCTATTTCGAATTTCCTTATGGTGTACATTATTGCCAGTTTTGCGGTCAATAATCCGAATCTTTCGCCTGTAAAATACAAATTACAAGCCTAGTTGGAGACATTTTATTGCGGCTCTTACCTGGACAAATTCTCGGCCCTTCGCCGAACGGCATGTAAATCAATCCTTTGTCGGAATCGATCTTCTCCCGGAATCTCTCCGGATCGTATTTGTAGGGATCCGGGAAGTACTGTTCGTCCATTTGAAATCCGTACATCGGAATTATCACTGCTGTACCTTTCTCTATTAACACATCAGTACCGGGTACTTTGTAATTTTCAGTACAAGCCCTATCCAGAAACGGCAACACCGGATATTTGCGAATTGTTTCTGGAATAATCCATTAGAAATAACTTTCTAAATTGTTGTTAATAGTATACCTTTCATGCACATATCCAAGTAGGTACAATCCTTAGCAGCTTCGTAGGTAATTTCCCCGTTGTATTTCTCCAAAACACCAAGAACTTCCTCCCTCGCTTTATCCTGTACTTCTTTATTCAAACTGAATTCGTACATAGTAAAGGCGATTGTGGAAGCAGTAGGTTCGAATCCAGCCATGAATATTTGTATAGCAACACCAGCCAGCTTTTGATCATCTAAAACACCAACAAACTAGATAAACTCCTTCGAATATCTAACCACAACTTATACCATTAAACGGCTCCTTCTTCCTCAACTCCTTCAACAGATCAATAAAATCGTTGTGCTTGACATCATCCACTCGACTGTTGAGAGTATCCAGGAACACCCCAGCGAAATACTTGAGACTGGTTCCATCCACGAAATCTATCTTAAGCCTATCCACCCATCGCGGCTTCAGGAAATACAACGTCTGGCAGAAGCCGTTCCTCCAGCTGAAATCGAAGAACCTCCTGCCCATCTCGCGGAACATCGGCTTGGCGCGCACGAAGCACTCCGGATCGATGCCGAACGCGCATTTGGCTATCACGTTGGTGGAGTATTTGGCGGCCAGCTCCTTGGCCTCGACCGGCCCGGCGTTGGTCTCCAGCCAGCGGCTCAGGTCCCGTCCGCTGGCGTCTATCAGATGGTACATGGCCTTCATCTTGCCGGCCGTGAAGGCCGGCGTGACCTTGGTGCGCGCCGATTTCCACACGTCGCTCTTCTGGAAGAAGAGGAAGTTCTGCTGGAGCACGTCGTGGCTGGGGCCCGACACTTGGCGGTCGGTGAAGTGCTGGAAGTCCCTGATGGTGATCTGGAAATGAACGGTGTAAGGAACGTTGCTGGTGTGGTGTTTGTGAGGAATGCGTTAGAGAAGATGAGGATTATGCTGGAAGGGAGTTTGTTTAAGGCTGCAATTGTTGGAGAAGGAACAACAATTGCTATAAAAGAAAGTAGGAGGTACACAATTTTGAAGTTTCTAAAGGGAGAAAATTTGCTTGAGAGGAATCTATTAGATGCAATTATTGGAGAAGGGACTATTGGAGTAAAATTTACTGGTGAACAATTGCAATAAAAAAAAACTAGAAAAAAATCTACTGAAAAAGATTGGTGTTGGAGAAAGATCTATTATAGAAGAAACAATGAAAGAATTGGTGGACAATCAGCTGGGAAGGGAATTACACTAAAAAAGGAGATTCTAATAAAACAATTTGTTATGAATTCAATTAGAGTAGTGTGTGTTAAAGAAAACTCCTATGAACAATTTATTACAAAAAATAATAAAATAAAGGGAATGAACTTACATTTTTAGCAATTTCTGGATCTTTGACCACGAAGAAAGGTTCATCGAAAACGTACAATCCTAAGAATTTCTCTTGCACCGTGTTATTGGAGAAGGGACTATTGGAGTAAAATTTTCTGGTGAACAATTGCAATAAAAGAAACTACTAGAAAAAAATCTACTGAAAAAGAATGGTGTTGAAGAAAGATCTATTATAGAAGAAACTATGAAAGAATTGGTGGACAATCAGCTGGGAAGGGAATTACACTAAAAAAGGAGATTCTAATAAAACAATTTGTTATGAATTCAATTAGAGCAGTGTGTGTTAAAGAAATCTCCTATGAACAATTTATTACAAAAAATAATAAAATAAAGGGAATGAACTTACATTTTTAGCAATTTTTGGATCTTTGACGATGAAGAAAGGTTCATCGAAAACGTACAATCCTAAGAATTTCTCTTGCACCGTGTTATTGGAGAAGAGACTATTGGAGTAAAATTTACTGGTGAACAATTACAATAAAAGAAACTATTAGAAAAAAATCTACTAAAAAAGAATGGTATTGAAGAAAGATCTATTATAGAAGAAACTATGAAAGAATTGGTGGACAATCACCTGGGAAGGGAATTACCCTAAAGAAGGAGATTCTAATGAAACAATTTGCTATGATTTCAATTAGAGTAGTGTGTGTGTTAAAGAAAACTCCTATGAACAATTTATTACAAAAAATAAAGGAAATTAACTTACATTTTTAGCAATTTCTGGATCTTTGACGACGAAGAAAGGTTCATCGAAAACGTACAACCCGAAGAATTTCTCTTGAACCGTGTTGTAATAATCCCTCAGCCATTCCGCCATGGTGGTTTTGAACAGAACTACTGGTAGAGAGTGGCCGAAAAAGGGCAACCCTTTGGGCGTGTACACCCCTTTATTTTTCCAAAAATTTTGGCGATTCGAAATGTACAAGTACAGCAAAAATGTTATGGTACTCAGAAATGCTATGGCATCGAATACCAGCGAATTTGTTAGCAACATCTTCGCTGCCTTTTTTAATGCTTTAATTTCACAATAAGCGTACCTTCTAATTGCTTTGGTCAATTACTGATACAATAAAAGTCATATATTTTCTTTTGTACATCTTTTATACAAAATCGTTTGTCGATAATATTTAATATATGTATATTTATCTCTATATTTAATATATTAACATATATTACAAACATATAGTAAGTAGATAAGAAAAATAATATGACGGGCGTAAAAAGTGGTGAATATAATTTGCATTGCAAAGAAGTTAATAAACTACCTGTAAACGATTTTAATAATATTAATGTAAATAAATTAATGATTTTGGAAATACGAAAACTTGTCCATTATTTAAATGCATAACAAAATATCCAATAAAACTGACTGAGTTAGTTTAAGCTTATTATATGCGTTATTATTTACTTTCGTAAACGTGTACAGATAGTAGTGTATTTTTGTAATTCTTAGGCAACGATGAAATTTGGTAAAATTATCAATTGATTGCTTAATTTCTCCCAAAATTTATTAAAAGGAACCATGTACAAGTAACCTTTATGACACATTTTTATTACGTCTTCAAATTATCTCGATACGATAAAATTAAAATTAAAAAAATAACTCTGCTGCGACGAAAAATAAGAATCGATCCGGGTAATTGCCTATTATCTACGTCCAATTCCATTTGAACCAACAACTTTAAATTGAATGGGATTGAATTCGCAATGCGCACGGAAAGCCGACGAAAATATTACGGTTTTCCGTGTTACCAATCGAACGAGCGTGCGTAATTAAGAAGAAAATAATGTAAGAGAAAACACTGTTTTTCCTCTAATAATAAAGCTGGAACGGTCATTGAAAGACTCACTGATTAGTGATTTTGTGAATTAGTGATTGTGAATTTAGTTATTAGTGAAAATAATTATATATTTTCCTTTAATAATAGAGTAGTAACACTGTTTGATTAATTGGTTGATACTTTTTTCAAATTGCTACAATTTGACCCGCCCTGTATACAGGGTGTCTACTGTAAAAATCGCCAAACTTCATTCAGGAGGTGATTATACAAGTAATTTTGAACAAAAATGTCGTATAACACTTTATCGAAAAGTCGATAGTTTCTCTTTTATTTAACATTTCATTATTTTAATTTTTTTTGTTTTTTTTCCAAAAAGACCGAAATATCACATTTATTCGTATAGTCACATTAATTTTGATCATATACCGTAAAAGTGCATTAAATTTGCTATAAAAAAAGATTTAATTGTTATGAATATGAAATGAACATAGTTGTATGTATCTTTTAATGGTCGTAAAGCCAACAATTATATAAAATTCATAAGTTTTTTTTTAGTAAAAACTACTGTATTCAAGCTTTTAAGAGGTATACTCAGATATTAATTAATTTTTTTTTTAATTTAATATCGGGATTACTTATTTTCGGGATATTCTTGTTTGAACAACTTTTTATTTTATAACATATACCTTTAAAATTTCTACAAATTTTGTTCATTTCATATTCATAACAATTAAATCTTTTATAACACCCGGTATTGTTTTTTTTAACTCTGATAAATACTTCTTTTATAGAAAATTTAATGCACTTTTATGGTATACGATCAAAATTAATGTGACTATACCTATAAATGTGATATTTGGTCTTTTTGAAAAATACCAAAAAAAAATTTAAAACAATGAAATGTTAAATAAATGAGAAACTATCGACTTTTCGAAAAAGTGTTATATGTAGGACATTTTTTGTTCATAATTATTTGTATAATCACCTCCTGAAGTTTGGCGGTTTTTACCCTACCCTGTATATCCAACGATGCCTATAAGACGCTTAGAAGAAAATAATGAAAGAAATGCACTATTTTGCTTTTAATAATAAAGCTTTGTTCAAGCTAATTGACTAATTGATTGATAATTTTCAAATTGCTATCAATTCGACATCCATTTAGTACAAATTGATCCGCCCTGTATATATCCAACTATGCTTGTAAAACCCTTAGAGGAAAATAATGGAAAAAAATACACTCTGTTTCCTATAATAATAAAGCTGGAACAGTCATTAAAAAACTCACTGATTATAGGGATTTCTTTTGAATTCATTCATTTAGTACATATTGAGCCGCCTTTTAATACAGGGTGTCCCAAAATTCACGCCCGTCCTTTCAGAATATGATTCAGCGGGCTAAAACAAATTAAATTTTAAGAATAAAATTTTTTCGTTTTGTCCTTGATAACCGAGTTATTGATAAAAAACAAAAATTTTTAAATTCAACTAAAACTTTAATTAAAACAAAGTAACAAAGAAACATTATTAAACATAAGAACATAAAAAACATAAAAACGAATAATTTATAAAAGGGGTTCAAAGAAATCGCCGCCTACTTCAATGCAAACATTCGCACGATTTAAAATTGAATCACAAAAAAATAAAAAAAATTTTTTTTTTTTGGGAAAAAAATTTTATTCTTAAAATTTAATTTGTTTTAGCCCGCTGAATCATATTCTGAAAGGACGGGCGTGAATTTTGGGACACCCTGTATATGCAACGATGCCTAGCATCGAATATTGGAAGAAATACACTCTTTTTGCCTTTCATAATAAACCTGCATTAGTTCACTAATCGATTGGTCAATTTCCATAAATCGCTCAGCAATTCCATCACCGTTTAGTAGCCATCAAGTACATCAACCCGCCCTGTATACACACGACGATACCTGAAATCGTGCAAACCGCACTAAGCCCGAGGAAACGCGACGCCCGCCGGCGCCGCGACGCCCTCCCATCTTCCTCTTCCTTCCGCACGAAATCCAAATCATCCGGCGACTTTCCCCCGTCTTCGCCCGAAGGAAAACCGTCCGCGGTGATGCGGTCGGTGCCTGTCAGTGTCTCAGAAACCGTCGTCGAGCGGCGTCCATCGCGTGTCGTCGCCGTCGCGACGCCCACCGAACTTTTCCACAACACCGGAAAAATCCACAAACCAACAAACCGCTAATCAATCTACGTCGAAAAAAAAACACATCGTTTTCGTGAACGCATTGTTTAGTACTTCGTTGAATTAACATACAGGGTGGTTCATTTAAGTGCGCGTTGTTGAAAGATGGCGCGTTGGGAGTCGAGTAAGAGGCCGTTGTACGTGAAAACCGTGTGGAAAGACGGGCAACGCCACGTTTTGCTGGGCGAGCAAAGGCAGCAGGAAAGCGACAGGAAGCCCGGCAGGCGATTGATCGAGGTGCAGAGACCCGTCAGGTCGGCTGTGACAAGCAGTTTGGTCAATTTGGAGGTGTCTTCGGTGCGTTTGCTGGACTCGGAGGAGGTGCTGATGAAGCGCAGGTGCAAGACGGGCGCGAGGAAGCGATCGAAAATCGATTCGAAATCGATGAACGGGGAGCGTTTGAAGGAGAATTGCGATGTGTCGGAATCGAAGGTGGTGGAGAAGATTAGCGAGGCTTGTTTGAATTCGGTGCAGTTTAAACAAGCGCGGTTTGTCGATGATAATCTGGCTGAGAAGGTGCTCGTTTGGTTGGATTTGGCGACGCAAAACGGACAATTTCCCGCTTATGTAAATATGGAACATCCTGTAGATAACCAAAACCCGCCTAGTTTATTCAAAAAACGACGAGTTTTCACCAAAAAACGATGCTTTTCCTCCTATCACGAACACGATTTCGAAATCTTCAAACCCCTATTGCACGTGGAAAGCATCTCTCCAATTCTACAGGTAGCCGACGTGTTAAAAAACGCCAGCGAATCGCCTATAGATGAAGAAAAAATCGATTACGTTTCGTCAGTGTTGGAAGATAATTATCCAGTGGAAAATATCGATTCATCGTGTCGAGAGCACCCGAAATCATCAATCAAAAGGCAATTGCACATATTCCTGCCAAATATGAAGAAGAAATCCGGCGTTTCCGACAGCGATTTGAGCTACACAAAGTGCATTTTATAATTTGTTTTTTGTAAATTAAAAATACGAATATATTTGGTATTTTTTTATCTCCACGACCCTTGGAAATAATATGAATTTCGAGTTTCATATTAATCACGAAAAGATGGTAATTAGATAGAAGTAGGTTAAACTCTTAACATTTACGAGGGTTCATCTACAATTTTAAATATCAAGCACCCCTTAAATCACTTCATGTATATCCATTACTTGGAAATACTGCATACTTAATTACAGTTCCCTTATTTCGTGATTAATGCAATCGATATTCAAACCATTGAGAAAAAAAGTAGAGAGAATTCGATCTTTTACTAAAAATTTCATGATGCTGCTGCTCTTGGGTACCCCTGAAATAATCGTGAAATATCGAGTAGATTTCTCCCATATTTTATAATAAAAAATTGGTGGTTATTTCTTAATGTAAATGCTTAAAATTGCAGGCTTTGGCTCGTGTTACTCCGCTTAGGAATTACTCCTTGATGGAAGAGAATTGCAGTAACGTAAGGAGACCTCCAGGAGCTTATGAGGAAATTGTGGAATCACAGGAACTACAAGGCGCACGAAATCCTCCAAGCTGTTGTAATGTGGAGTAAAAAGAGGTTTCAATTCACTTGACAAGGTTAGCTAGTTGGATAATACTTAATTATTGTTATAAATTGAGTTGTTGTTTGTAGGAGATCCGAGAGATGTTTTTTCTTGATTCCTGAACGCTCTTCATAAAGCCCTGAATGAGAACGACACAATTGTGCTGCGGTACGGCACTGAAGTACACAGGAGCTACTGCAAAATAGGGATTTAAACTGTTCGAAAACGGTTTATTCGGACAACGGACCTTTAGTTGTAAAGGTCTTTAAAAGTTTCGATACTACAAAATCATTTTTTATTTAAAGTATATAATTGCCATGGTACTGTCAAACCTATTGCAGACCTTTACAACTACACAAATATTTAATTGAGTTCAACAAATAGTTTTCCCACAAAAGGGAATTCCCAAACTCCTTGACTTTTTTCGGCATTGTGCGGGCCTCTTTTGACTGTTAACATACAGGGTATGTCAGGACGAGATTAAATCATCTGTATATTGGAAACTACTTCACAAAGAACACCCATAAGGTATTTTTTTAAATAACAAAGTTAGAGTACAACCAGAAGTGTTACTACTGTCAAAATATTTTTAAATTGGTCGACTTATTGCATAATACATGCTTACCAAATTTCAAAATAATCGGGTAAGTAGTTTCCAATATACAGATAGTTTAAGCTCGTCATAACACACCCTATATTTCTTTAAAACATTTTACCACCTAGGTTTTTATGAAAATAAATTAAATTTGTACTTACCGTAATAGGTATATTCGGCCAATCTGAAATCTCCAACAATAATATAGACAAACATGTTAATAAGAAACGAAATAATTAAAACAAGGGGTAAATTTATCCAAACAAACCAGCCGTCGCGCCTATAACTGGAGCGCAAATAAAATTTGCGGCCCTGCTGTATTAAATCCTTACGGCAAGATTGTATAAATTCTCTAGACACTTAGTTTTATAGTAGTTGTACAACAACTGTAGAGCAATGTTGTGCAACTTATTTGCGTCCCTGCTGTATGAAATCCTTACGGCAAGATTGTATAAATTCTCTAGGCACTTTGTAGTAAAACACTCGTATAGCACCTGTACAACAATTGTTTTACAACAAAGTTCTTCTGTTGTAGTACAGTTGCTGTGCAATTTCTCTTTTTGTGCCCACTGGATTCTCCAGTTGCAAAAGAAGGTTATAATATTATTACAATATTAACAATACTATACTACAATATTAACATAATATTAACAATATTACCAATATTATACTAACAATATTATAATAAACGTTCTTTTTTTATTCAATTTGTATCGAAAGCTTTCATTACAAGTGTACGAATTGAGAACGACACAATGATTTTACTACTGTAATATTTGTATTTTAATATACTGTCTCTATTTCGTATTTAATAGTAGTTAATTTATTGTAAGAAATTAAAAACACCATTGAAAGTGTTTTGTTTTATTTGTTTTGAAATTACCAACAAGTTTTATACTGTATCATTTCTAATATCTTTGAATTTCCTACATTTGGTTTAAAACGAGTTCCTTGTCTTATTATTACACAGCGCTTATCTCAAAATACAGTTTCCTACATTTAGTGGCTGTATGCCTCATAGCAAGAGGCCATATAAAAGAGAAGAATTATAATGTCATACAGATGGCGCCACTTGACAAAATTATAAATGCACATGTCGGCGACCGGAGCGCTCAGTCCCTCCTTTGCCACGGTAGGGGTATGTTGCTCTTTTATAGGAAAAAAAATGCGCAGGATTCAAAGTACTCATCGTCACGAATGATCATCATAAATCTTGAATGTTGGTAAAATTTGTTGGTCCACCGTCCTCCCCCACCGGTACCACCCCTTTGCTATACTTTCTTAAGTAACCTAAGCATACGTGATCGTGCGCGATGTGTTGCAAAAAGTTTTGGCGCCGTCTATTGAATTTTTATTGAACTAAGATTCCGTTTAAGGATACTGCAAGGCAGGCAACCAGTTTTTCGCTTATTAGAAATTTATAAACGTACAACCTCCACCAATTTTTTAAAAATCTTGATAGAACTTCCCTTTTTATCGTTTAATAGTTTATTATTACCGAATTTATAACGAAATAAAACACACAACGAATAATTTAAAATTTTATTTCACCATACAGACATGAAATAATGATGTGCAATTAATGCTCGAAAAAAAAACAATGAAAGTAAAATATAATAGACAATGAATAAATAATGTATAAAAATTATAATACAAGTTAAAAATCATCATTGTCTTATCTATACAAATAGAAAATAAGAAATATAACGAATAGGGAGAAATAATAATTATCATGTGTACAACCGTTTTGTTGCATGTCAAAACATTTTTATTTCTGTTATCAGACTGTTTTCTACTAGTAGCACAACTTCATTGAATAATAATTATTGCGATACTGACTAAAGAGGCTAAAACTCCATAACTTTAGGATTTGTTATGCTATGTTTAATATTCTGTTACTAACATCGAACTATATTATAGTATACATTAAAATAAAGCTTGTACCTGAATTTTGGGTGAATATACGTCTAAATAAGGGTAAAGCCGGCCGTGCGAAAATTCCTCCCAATTTTTTTTTCCTATTTCGAAATTCCCGCACGGGCGACGGCCAGTCGGTCTAAAATTGCCAATCTCACATCTTACCTGTTAAAATTATTATTTATAAAGTTCATGTAAATGTAATTTTTTGTTTTTACTATACAGAGATATGAAAAAAGAACATGCCATTCAGGGTAATACCTTCATAAAAACGCATCAAAACGCACAATTTCGTCCAAAAATTTAGTAACTCGGATGACATAAGTGGTCGTCATATAGATTTGGAAGGCACTTACTACAATTTCTTTTTGAACACATTAAGCCTAGTCATAGAACTCAAATAATAATTGGTTTCTACGTAACTCGAAGGCCGAAACGTTCCGAATAAAACCGAAAAGAATCCTCGAACCGAAACGAAAATGCTCCCCACGCTGATCCGAAACATGGAACTCAGGAAAAATACACGTCAAAGGCCACTTTTTGAAAACATTATCACCCGCAAGATGCAAAAAGTCAAACAAGCTTCTTTTTTTTTTGGTAGAGACCCCAAAATGGCAGGGAAGGCATTAATTTTTTCCATAATATTTTTTTATACATATATAGATTTATATAAATTTTTGTACATTATTCTATATATTCCTAAGATCTAAACAAATCACAAAAATATTTTTGTTGGCTCGTGACTTTCACTAAAACCTAATATGAAAGAATAAATGTCTGTGATTTTTTTTGTCTATAAGGTGATTTATAAGTTAATTAGACATCGCCTCGCTTCGAACGGAATTCGATTCAAATTTTAATTTAGATTTACCTAATCTTACATTTTACCGCTAAATGCTCTAAAAGTTGGCATTATTTCCTTGCTCTTGACGTCATTACTCAGCAAAAGCTCTTAAGGGAGCTTTCTGATTCGCTAGATTCAATGACCAATTCTTACAGTTGTCGAGATGGCGTCATTGAAGTTGGCGAATCAGAGAGCTTGCTCGAATTGTTAGCAAATGAAAGCTCTTGCTGATGATGTCAGTGCAAATAATGCGACTTTAGAGCTTTTGCGAGATATTTTCGGGATTAATTCATGTGTTTTTTGTAGAGGAAGACGAGTTTTTTCACCAAATGTTCGATTTATCCGACGAATTGCGATCGTAACGAGGTTAACATCGTAGCGAATCACCCTGTATAAAAGGTACGTGTGCTACTCATAAAAGTGAATTGTATCCACAACTTCTTTTTCGTAAATAATCCCTACGTTTTATTTTTTTTAGTGTCGCTTTTTCGCATCACTCACGGCATCCTTCGCTATTTATTTATTACTTTTTTTTCGTTTCGTCGAAATTCAAGTTGCACTACACTTTTATATATACTTTTTTTAATTTGTACATACACAACATCTACTGCTTTTCTTCTTCATTACTAAATCGGTAGGGTAGGTACTACATCGTAACATATATAATACATTTGGCATTGCTACAGTTCAAATATTTAGCTCCTTGTTTAGTGGCGAAAGTGGAATATTGTTCAAAAATTAGGACTCTAAACTTTGTATTATAATTAAAAAAACTCCTTAAGTTCTTGATATTTCTTCATACTGCAAGGTTGCATACGTTAGAAGGTTGGCTCATCACGGTGACGTCACATTTCATATGACGCACTAATCACAGCCAACCTGCAAGTTTCCTTGATATTGAGAGAAAAGTTTAAGGAGATTAATATAACAAGTTGCACAAGGATACTACTAAATTTATGAGGATGCTCTGATGACGTATGATAATGTTGAATTAGGCAATCCTTGGTAGTTTAGTGTCCTTGTACAAACGAAAATCCGTTAGTTTTCCAAATTTTTGTAGAATATCCACGACTCGGCTTTACTGATGCAATTATTGGAACAAATTAATCGTTGGTTTTTCTGGTATTACAAGAGAAATACGAAAAGTTCAAATAGTAAATTACATAATTAATTCCAAAACTGCACGATTTTGTGCCAGTACATTATTTACTCGCCGAATAAAATTTCATGAAATATTTACATAAATATATTGTACTGAGTATCAAGACGAATTTTTTTCTTTTCGACGTTGCATTAAAGTCTATTTTCGAATTGTCAAGTTGGTATTAGCGTAAGATTTATTTGGTAATTGTCAAATACCAAGCAAAATTGTCATTGTTACCAACTTACTTCCGGTCAAGAAATGAACTCTTCGAGATTTTTACATTGACATTGATATATACAGACTTTAATATATTAAATTCATCATTATTCGAAATAAAAAAAACTTCGTTTGATGAAAATTTGTAGCCGAGTCATTCGACATTTAAACAAAGGAAGCTAAAATGGCGGTAAATCAACAAAGCAATAGGTACATACTTATCTTTATATATGGCTTAAATACCTATACAAAAATGATGTAATTACAATATTTACTAAATAAATAAAAATAATTTACGAGACCAGTTGACTTATTTAAATACTGATAATAACTGACCTTTTTCTCTTGCGTCATTGAAACAACAAAAACTAATTAATAAAAGAAATCTACAACCGAAAGAATTTGTTATTGCACTGAAAAAAAATACAGTGGCCTATTTGGGAGTTATTTAGCTGAATCGAAAGGAATTATGCCTATAGATATTTATATATAAATTATGTACTTAATACACAGATAAAATTCTTTATATGTATATACTATCAATTATATTTAGTTTTGTACATGTATAAATGTCCACGAAACGACTCGAATCAAACTTTATATTCCTCTAAATTAAAAGTTAAACTCCTCCTCTACTATTTCAATATTAAAAACTCATAAATTGTATTATAAATACTATTCTAATCTGCCATTTTGATGTACAAATGTCATAACTGTCATTAACGTCAGTAGTAGCAACAAAATGGCGGATAATGCCGGAAATAAACTAATAAAAAATACTGTTATTTATCTGATGAATTCAACAGAGTCGTGATCGTGGAGAGTAATCGAAACGCGCGAGTTTTCTCTACACATTGTGTTGATTTTTTTTTGTAGTTTTACAAGATATTAACGATGCAATTGTACGTGCGCGTGAATCCCAAAACAGATTGTCGTTTAGCGAACTTATTTTCAGAGCGGTGTGGGGTTAGGGGGAATGTTGATAAAATAATTTTTCCACCCGAATGAGTCCAAGTTTTTCTTTTCTATTTGATTGAACAACATAACGTCCTTGCACTCAACCGGGCTGTAATACCAATATAGTCTAATTTTGAATTTAGAACAATAGTATACATATACACAACAGTCTTTTTTTTATAGAAACTGGCCGAAACTTTGGCTTCTAAATAAATTATATAAAATTGTCCAAAATATACTACTCGCTAAAATTTTTCCATATCTTTTTCTCAACAATTTTTAATAAAATAAAAGAGCTCGAAGGCCGCGCGGCGGCTCGCTCTCCGCTCGCCCCGCCCGGCCCCTCTATCAAAACTAATAATTAATCAAAAATTTATCACATTACGTTCATGCAATATCGAAATCGGGTCTCGCCGCTCATTCGCCTCGACATTCCGCCAGCGGCTCCAACTTTATGGTCGCCATCGCGTCTTTCGCGTGCGGCGTGGAAGAATGCATTGGCTTCACCAAATCGTCGATGTCCTCTTGGAAGAGATTCTCCGGCCTCGGCGACGTGAACGTCCTCGAAGGCTTGTATGTCATCCCAGACACGCCTGCACAAAACGACAATCATCATACACCACATCAAACCCAGCCCAGAACCCCATCCAGCCCCACATCCAAAACCCCATCTAGCCCCAGGTCCAGCACTAGCTCTGGCCCCATATCCTGAACTTAATCTAGCAACAGATCCAGAACCCCATCTAGCCCCAAGACCAGAACTAGCTCTAGCCCCATATCCTGAACTTAATCTAGCAGCAGATCCAGAACCCCATCTAACCCCAGGTCCAGAACTAGCTCTGGCCCCATATCCTCAACCTAATCTAGCCTCAGGTCCAGAACTAGGTCTAACCCCAGCTCCAGAACTAGGTCCCGCCTCAGATGCAGCACATAATCAAGCCTCAGGCCTACATCCAAGTTTATCCCCAGGTTTTTCTTTAGTTCTAGCTGGAGATCTAGTTCCTGATCGAGGTGAATAGATCCGGTTACTCACCTATGCCGACGTCCATGTTGTTTCCTATGTGCATGTTGATCGAGGGCTCCATGGAACTGGAGACGGTGAGTCCGAGCGGCGACGATATGGGGCTCTCCATCGCCGATTCGGCGGGGCTTATCCTCAGGTCCTGGATGCTACCGGCCGGGCTGCTGATGTTGCGCATCGATACGATATGGCTCAGGCTCTGCAACGAAGCGATTCGTTAAATGATAGAGTAGAGAAGACCTTTTAGCAGGGCTAAAGGAAGTGTTCAGGCTACAAGAGTTTATTGGAAACCTATGGAGATGGTTAGAAGAGATATTAGACTCAAAATACGAGCAAGAACTGTTGGAGTAATCACCAGGACTCGGAGACTTTGGGGCAAGCTGTTGCAAAGATACAAAAGGCAATAGAAACTGGAAGAGGCTTTAGAAGAGGCTTTAGAAGAGGCTTTAGAAGAGGCTTTAGAAGAGGCTTTAGAAGAGGCTTTAGAAGAGGCTTTAGAAGAGGCTTTAGAAGAGGCTTTAGAAGAGGCTTTTCCTTACCATCGGCGGTGCTCCGTTGCTGGGCGGCATGGACATGTTGCCGCAATGGCCGGCGAGCGCCAGCGAATTGACCAGGCTGGCGACGGGATTGGTGTCGTGGGCGGTGCTCTGGTTGTGAGCGGCCGCCACCATGCTGCACATCTGCTGCCTGAGGCCCTGGGCGACGGCGGCGACGGCGGCCGCCGCCGCCGCTCCCGGCGACACGTTCGGATCGGAGCCGTTGCTGCAGGAATTTTGATTCGGGTAGTTCGATACTGTCACGCCGTCCTGCAAATAAAATCGACTGATCACCTGTACGCTGTGTGTTAGTTTCGTGAGGTATACCATGAGTTTCTGGAATCTGTCGTTCAACGGCGATTCGTGGTCTCGATTTGATGCCGGCATGTTCTGGAGAATAAACCAAATGTATATACCAAATGTGGTGTTTCGAGTAAAATGATATGCTTACGTGCAGTCTTTGATATGACGATAGGTGAGGTTCCTCTTTGATTTGATGCGAATCCCTGAACACCACTGCTCTGATGACGCCTCTGATGTGCTCGTCGGGCCACACGCCCAGCAGGATCCTCTGCGGCCTGCCTCTGCCTTTCGGTCGCAAATCTAGCATGACGCCAATTATATTAATAGCAAGACCAATTACATGAATCACCTTAGAACGGGATTAACATCAGCCCGAAGAATCTGTGCTTTAATACTCACCAGATCCGCCGTCGTGAGAGGGTCCCAGCATGTTGTGCACCCTGTTGGCGTAGAGGACGAACGTGGGATAGGGTATGTCGTATTTCCTGGCCGCCTGCGACAGCGACAGGCCCTCTTTCAGCACGGAAAATATCGCCTCTGCCATGGTTTCCGGCCGCCAAGACTTCAACGGGCCCCGTTCGCGGAAGCGCAGATTATGTACGAGACTTTGGTTCGTGTTCCAGCATTTTTGCCACATCGATTGCAACTGGTATTGGTAACTGTCTGCTGGAAGGAACAAACAAAACCGAATTGCATTATTAGTTACATTGGATATGTTCATTTGGTGGTATTCCGAGCTACATAATTTCGTTTCAACGACGGCCATTTGCACAGGTTTGCTTATTATGTGACTTTTAACTACTAGATTCTTCGAGTCAAATCGATAAACTATTGAAAGAGTCGAGATTTGAAAGAGTCGATGTTTGAATGAGTCGATATTTGACAGAGTCGATGTTTGAAAGAGTCAACGTTTGAAAGAGCTAATGTTTGAAAGAGACATTTGAAAGAATGGGTATTTGAAAGTAAGTCTTTGAAAGAGTCTATATTTGAAGGGGTCAATATTTTAAAGTCTATATTTAAAGGATTCGATATTTGACAGAGTCGATGTTTGAAAGAGTTAACGTTTGAATGAGTAAATATTTGAAAGAGAATATATGTCAGAGTCGATGTTTGAAAGAGTAGTCATGTGAAAGACACGATATTTAAAAGAGTGTATATTTGAAAGTGTTGATATTTGAAAGATTCCACGTTTGAATGAGTCATTTGACTGAGTCAAATATTGACAAAACCAACTATTGAAAGAATCAATTACTAAATGAATTAACAACCAAGCAAACACCAATATTATTTAAGCACAAAAAACATTTTGGCATAACTTAGTTAATGCAAATGGCCACCGTATTAACAAATTAAATGCAACTCCAATAATTTTTTTAATATAAAACAGGAAACAACAGGAAGTTAAGATAATAATGCAATAATTTAAACATAACTATGCATAATTGATGTACCAAATAATATTTAATTAAAATAACCATCTAGTAGCATGGGGATAAAATATGGCGCAAGTGATGCGCTTGTCGCGACATCTGTGGAGCGTTTAGGGAAAGTTCAAAGGTCTCTATCTTGTTTAGTTGACATTGCGCCTACTAGGTGGCACTACTCGTAAGAGTTTTGGAATTTATTTTTAATTGATAACCAACATCACACAAAAATTATTAATTTTAAAACAGGTAAGATGTGAATAAATAAATAATAATGCGCAGGTAAATAGATTGGAAGGGAAATTGAAATGGAAGTGACGGGGGTAAGGGGGGAAGTACAGGTTCATTCAAGTCGAGAAAAATAACAAACAAATTAATAAAAACAACAAAACAATAATGCTATTATAAAAAAAAATCCTGTAAAATGCGTTTTAATCAATAACAATTCTCGCTAAAGCGCTTTTAGTGAAACAATAAATACAACTTCATATTGAACGAAAAACAACAATGGGTCGTTAACATTCGAATAAGTAAATGTAAGAAATTTTAAAATAATCTCGATATAAACTACAAAAATTATAATTGTTATAAATATTATTCGGAACAATAGACGTCGATAAGAGAGAGGCAATTTAAATCAATGTTTAATTTTTAGTGTATATAATTAATAATTAATTTATGGATGTTATATATGTCGGTGATATTTAAAACAATAATTGCAAACACTGATTAGATCGATAAATGCATGCATAAACGTGTTTAAAATTAAAGACTGTCATTAAATTATTATTACAGATAAAATTTATATTGCATTGTTATATATTTATAATAACTATTGTTATACAATACTTCTAAACTCTTAAAAAAAATAATAATCACATAAACTCTATTAATTCTAATACCTGTCAAAAATTTAGGGGAAATGTTGGTATCACTGATTAAAAATATGCTTGCTCCCTGACGAATATTTTTGTAACTAAATCGACTAAAAAAAACAGAGTTTATACAATTATTATTCGTGCAGTATACAAATTAAATAATAATAAAAAAATTACAATCGATGACGCACACGACGAGGTTTAGTTTCTTTCGTTAATTAATCAATTAAAACATGATTCATTAATTCCAATTGGGTGGGATTAAATAAAATGAGACAATTAAACTTAATAGTTCTTTATTACCCACACAGCATCAAATCTCTCAGTACCATCTCAATCAGATCACATATTGATCACAATATCTCAGAAATTTCTGAAATGTCTCCGAGACATTTAAAAAAATTGAAAGCTTGGTAACATATATATTGGTGAATAGTGATATGTCTGAGATGTATCTGAGATAGTTACAGCTTTATCAATTGCTTGATGGTAATATTTTCACATATTTTTTTTCTTAATTTTTTGGGATGATCTGCTAAGCTATTGTACTATTTAGCTATTGTACACGAGCCCACAGCCAACGTGGCACGTTCTGATTGGTTCTTGGTTCTTATAACACTTTACGGTGCTGTATATATCATTGCTTAAAGGGCATTCCATATACTTGCGAATTACGAATTGCGAATTGCGAATAGTTTTCTGATTGGTCAGTTTAGAAAAAGACATAAATGCAGATGCCTGCATTTTGTTTTTGTTTCCCTGCTTTCCGCGGTACCAAAATTATATCGATTAATCGATTATAAGAATTAAATCGGTAATATGTAGATTCGAAATAATTAATACTTGTATAATAACAGAGTATTCTCTAGAACAAATAATAAAAGCAAATATGACAAAAATCCTAATGTAAAGTTGATTTTAGGCATTCTTTTTATAATTTAAACGTACTAAAATCGAATTCTGTCACTTATCGAATCGAATGATTAACAATCGAAAATGTCACAATCGTTAAAATAAAGAATTAGAGCGAAAACGATCAACTAACCTCACTTTTTGGTTTGCAATGTGCAATGTCTTTCGGTTACACGGTTTTTTTTGAGTAAGCATCTTTTAAATTTAATACTTAATAGTTGGATTATTAATTTCCTTTATTTTATATTTATTATTTATTCCTTTCTTTATGAATTAAACATGCCTAAATCTAAATCAGTTAGTACAGTAAGTAAGAGGCATTTGCGGCGCCTTGTCCAAAGAAATTTAATTGAAGTTAATAAGAATAAGCCTGAAAAACAAATAACCAACACTTTTCAAGAAGTTAATAACTTTGAAACACAGAAACCTGTTCCTGTTAATAATTTTATTGAATCAAGTGATGATGAATGTAATTCTCAAGAAAGTATCGAAGTGACACATTTTTCTCCTCCTAAGCCCAGTTTATTAACACTAAGTGAATCTTCAGAACCTTCAGAAAATTGTGATCATAATATTGTGATGACCAACTCCAGTATTACTACAGATTTCAGGTTAGAAGCTGAAAATATAAGATCTAGTTTAGCTAACTGGGCAATCTCACATAATATTTCTCATGTTTCACTTAATAGTTTATTGAATATTTTACATAATCACAATTGTTTTTCTAACCTTCCACTGGATAGTAGAACACTACTTCATACAGCAAAAACGTGTGTGCTTAAAACTGTATGTCCAGGAGAATATGTTCATTTTGGCTTGAAAAGAATTTTACAAATAATGATAAATGAAAACATTGAAATAGTTGAATTATTGATAAATATCGACGGTTTGCCTATTGGTAAATCGTCTACCAATTCTTTATGGCCAATATTAGGAAATATTTCAGGGTTTTCAAATGTTTTTATAATAGGTGTTTATTTTGGTCCTCAAAAACCACAAGATGTCAATGAATTTTTATCAAATTTTGTCGAAGATTGTACAGATTTAATAAATAATGGTTTATGCATAAATAATAAAATAATTCCTTTTATTCTAAAAGGTATAGTATGTGATGCACCAGCAAAGTCTTTTGTATTAGGCGTTAAAGGGCATTCTGGCTATTCAAGCTGCACAAAATGTTTGATAAATGGTGATTTTTTAAATAACCGAGTTTGTTTTCCTGGCAGTACATGTGGTAAAAGAACAGATGAAAGCTTTAGAGCCCAAAGTGACGAAGAATACCATATTCGTGAAACAATTTTAAAACAAATTCCTAATTTTGACTTAGTAAAAGGAGTTCCACTGGATTATATGCACCTTTTATGTCTTGGTATAACTAAAAGACTTCTGCTCCTATGGACCGGGGGTGATTTATCTGTCAGATTACCCAGTTCTAAAATTAAATCTATATCACAAAGAATTACAAGCTTAAAGCATTATATACCCAAAGAATTTGTTAGAAGACCCCGTTCATTGGATTACTTAAAATTATTTAAAGCAACAGAGTTTCGAATGTTACTGCTTTATATAGGGCCAATTTGTTTTTCCGGCATTTTAAGAAGAAAAGTTTATGAAAATTTTCTTACACTACATGTTGCAATTAGAATGCTTTGTATTCAAAATGAATGTGAAACCATTGAATATGCTAATAAATTACTGCACATCTTTGTTTCGACATATGAAAAAATTTACAAAAAATACAATGTTTCCCATAATGTTCATAACCTGTTACATCTTGCTGAAGATGTAAAACAATTTGGAGTATTGGATAATTTCAGCGCTTTCAAATTTGAAAACTATATGTCATCGATAAAGAAATTACTGAGAAAATCTGAAAGACCACTTCAACAATTATTTTTTAGAACTACTGAAATAGAAGCCTTAGGTACACAAACATGGAAGCTTTTGCCAAAAAACAAAAATCTAAAATTTTTCATGGTTGATAAAACATTGCATACTCGTGGTCCCCTCATTGAAGGATGTTCAAATCCTCAATATCATTCAATACAAAATGATCAATTCATATTAAAAGCTTTTTCTGTTTCTGATAATTGTTTTTTGGGCAAAAATGGCAATATTGTAGTGTTAGAAAACATTGCCTATTCGTTTGAAGCACAGTCTATGTTACTAATAGGTAGAGAATTCGTAAAGAAAGAAAATTTATTTCACAAACCCTGTGATTCATCTAAACTTGATATTTATGTAGTTTCACACTTATCCGCGCTCAAAACTTGGCCGTTAACTGAAGTTAGGTGCAAATATATGAAATTGCCCTTTGAAGCTAATACATTTGTTGTTATTCCCTTACTCCATAGTGAGGTAAGTATTTTTTTAAATTATGGCAACAATAGAAAATAATAATTTTGTTCCATTTTAAACACTTAGAGTTCAAAATGAATAAGAAGTACTGCGTAGTTGAGTTTGATGATGGCCTGCAACTTATTCCAAGACTTTGGATCAACAGCGACAATGAAGCTTTCTGGCCGAATTTTAAAACTACAGCTAAATACAACGCTGCCGTTAAAAATTCAATAAAACCTGGCATAGATTGGCAAAAATGTCAAATTTTAAGAATTTTATATTCTACAGGTGAGAAAATGATTACTTTCCCTAAAGATGTTAGACTATATTTATTCTAAAATGTTATATATTTCCAGATAATTATGAGTATGGATTAAAAAAAGTGAAAGAAGCTGAAGATGAGAGTGACATTTGTACAACAGATCCAGAAGAAGAAAAGAAAAAAAGAAAGTACAAGGCGACAAAAAAATTATCCAGCTCCGAAGATGAAATGGATACAACAATTGTACAAAAAAGGCAAATAAAACATCGCGAAACAAGATATTCTTTATCAGACGATGAAGATGAAGATACTGCATATCCAACGTTTCCAACTGACAAAACAGGTGAGTGCTTTTCGTACTTTTTGAGTACTGTACTTTTCTTAACTACGTTTTAATAGAAAACTTAATTTCAAATGGATCAATTATTTTAGTTAATTGTACGCCTGCAAAAGATACACGAATGGAAGTTCCCTCCCAACTAACAATAAGTAAGTAAATTTGTAAATAAGAGTATTTACATAAATCAATTTTTGTGTAATTTTTAGCCTTCCAGGAGGACTGCATGAAATTATTACAAAACGTCCAGAGAAAAGTAGTGGCAGTGTCCCTGATGCAACAGGAAATATTGGATAGGTTGAATTCGCTCGAACTAGGAGTTGTTGAAAGGGAAAAAGATTTACCAAATGATGATCCGTGCAGAGAAATTTTTGAAAGTGTGTTCCCTGTAAACACCATTGAAGAAATGGAACGTATCAACAACATGTTAAAAACTAATGATAATTTACGAAAATATGTTGTAAGTATAAAAATTACTTATCTAAAGATTTTATAATGATTTATATATTCATTTTAGTTTCAACGAAGTCGTCTTCTGTTGGGGAAGGATACAAAAACTTCAATTGTAAATATTCTTCGAGCTTTCTTAACAAATTCTTGTGCGGCATGTTACAGTTGGGTTGGAGCAAAGAAGAAGAATATGTTTTGTGAATTAGAGCTGGTCAAAATTATAAAAGGTAGTTACTCAAGTGAAACAAAAGTTGTTTAAGAAAAAAATAATAGAATACAATTTTCGTTACATCGAGTTTTCATTCACAATTTCACTGTAAAATGTTTTTCTAATACTTGAATTTTATTTTTCAGATTCAATTCGCAGTCAAAAAGGTAAAGAACTAACTTCAGACTATGAAATATCGGAAGTTATAAAGAACTGGCTAAGACTGGCAACATTAAGGAAGGACCGGGAAAGAGAAAAACAAGAGCGAGCAAGAACAGAATGATGTAATTTAATAAGATTTGAAAAAATAAAGTACTTTCTTAGTATTCTGGTTATGTCTCAATAATATTTAAAATAATATCTCAGATGCACTAAGTATATAAGCTGCGAGATATCTTTGAGATATTTTTAAACGGTTCTGAGATATCTCAATAACACGTCTTTGAGATGTTTACAAGGCGGACATAAAGATATCTCAAAGATATCCCGATTATATCTCAAAAATATTTCTGAAGATCTCAGAGATATACTATGTCTCATTATTGACGTCCCTGATATATCCTAGAGTCGTAAATTTGCTGTGTGGGTAAGTAACTTTTTCATAAACAACGCAAAAGCTCTTCATCAACAAAACATGGAAAATATCTTAGAAAAAAAAAACTTAAAAGGCTAAATGTATATAATTAATCAGTTCGATCGCTCGCTAATATGGATTTATTATACTAGATTAATTAAAACACCACATTCGATTATTATTATTGCTCTCGAAAGGAATCAAATCGACGATTGATAAATTTGTATACAGTATAGATCCATTAAACATTAAAGTCCCGTTATATTTATATGTTTGGATTAAATCCATAAATTACGGAAAATATATATTAAAAATTTTTACGAAATAACCATCGAAAATATAAATAAACTCGATCATTTTAAGTATTCATTATCATTCGCCATTTTGGTACTCTTTTAATTGACAGGTGACATTGAATTAATGGCGGAATATTTGTACCTAACGCCGTCCTTGTTTAACTTCCCCTTCCACTTCACTATTGAGCTCAACGCCGGCTAGATCTTATTACTAATTATTGCTTTTAATATCATTTTGTATAAATATATTTGAATTTTAGTTATCTAGTGGAGTGTTCGCGAAATATGGAGTCAAATTTCATAAAAATAAATTATATTTAGAAACGAAGCAGTAATAATAAAGCCGCGGAAAAACAGAAAAAGACTCTATTTACAATATATTACATGTTATAGTGCAGTATTTTATATCGCCAACAATCATAAAAAATTACTTATTATGATGATAATAACCGACCGACGGATATTAAAACTAACAATAAAAAAAATAAAAACTATCGCATGTCTGCGGCCAAATAACAGGCATGCAACAATAACAGGAGCAATGTATAATAATTATTATAAATACAGCTTCAACTTGAGCGCAAACTGATCTATTGTCGTTAATAAACTAACCGCATAAATGTTAATATTCCGCTAATTCGAATAATTTCACGACAGAAATAATAAATAGAAACTAAACGACCGGAATGGTTTCGGTTTGGTATATAAATAATACAAGGAATGTCGCAAAGTAATCGTAATTTTATCATATTTTTATCGATCGAATTGTTAATACGGAATTTTATTATAGAGCAATTGCTTTATATTTATTTTATTCGATTTCTCGTAAGTAGCTGCTCATTTCGAATTTTAGCCGTCTGTTTCTTTAAGTATGTAGCACAGACCTCGAATAATATATTCCTCAATAATCTAATTACGTAATAACATATTTACAGGTAATAAAATATGTAGAGCTTGGAAAATATACAAAAAATCCAGTACATCGCAATTCCCCACAGAATAAAAACAATACCTAATTGAAAACTTTAATTCAAAGAGTATAACGGAGAGTGGACAGTGGGGAGAATAGAGTAGAGAGTGGGGAGAATAGAGTACTAGAGAGGGGGAAATAGAGTAAGAGAAGGGCGAGTGGGGAGAATAGAGTAAAATAGAGTAAAATACAAAAATTCCAGTACATCGCAATTCCCCACAGAATAAAAACAATACCTAATTAAAAACTTTAATTCCTAGAATATAATGAAGAGTGGAGAGTGCGGAGAATAGTATAAAATAGAGTAAGATAGTGGAGAGTGGGAAGAATCGAGTAGATAATGATGGAAAGAGAGTACAAATTAAGGAATAGAGTAGAAAGTAGAATGTGGAAAGTAGAGAGTAGAGAGTAGTGTGGAAAGTGAAATAGTTTTGGGGAATTCCTGCAAGGGATTAGTGCAGCATTTTTGTGCATACAATCCAAGCTCTATCAGTAATAAAATTGGTCCTAGAGTATACCGATGTGGATCTACTAATCAGTAATTAATTAATCACTAACAAATCGTCCCAAACAACTCGCATAAACCAAAAACAAATCTTCTACAAAATTAAAAAATAAAATTGTTCATCGATACCAAACATACTCTCCCACACAATGTTGCCAGAAACGCAGAATTTTCTTCAATATGCAGAATTATAGCCTACAATGAGAGCTACTAAAGTAAAGAAGAATATTTTACAAAAACCTCTGAAATATGAAGATTTTTTTTTAAATTCATATGTTTTTTATTTAAATCATTAAATTGTCTAAGTTATTTATTTAAGTATATTAAGACTATTAAGTTAAGAAACATCTTAAGTCTTAAGGTATTGAATTTTTCTATACATTTCTTAATGAACTGTCCTTCATAACCTAATCTTATTTACATTTGCGCAGAAATATGGAGCCTTTTTGGCGAGGTGTAATTGAAGAAAATTGGTACAAACAATCCGGCAACATTGCATCCCATTAGCTCCCGTTGTTCTCGTAATAGAGCGAACCGATGCTGTGCTTCTTGCAAAACGCCCACCACCACCGGAACCCCGACAAACCGGTGAACATGAATTCGGGATCCCGAAGCCTGCGCATCTTCTCGACGAAGTCCAACACCGATTTGAGGCTCTTCTTGGTGCGCCGGTTGTACGGCGTGTGCGAGATGTCGCAGCAGAAATTCAACACGGCCATCTCCTCGGCGTAGGTGAGGCCGGCCTCGTCCAAAACGGCCATCCGCTTCGACTTACCGAGGATGTTGTCGTAGAGCGTGCCTTTGGGTATGCCGTATTTGGCCGAGGCCTGCGTGAAGCGCATCTTTTGCGTTACGACGGCGTCGATGGCCTCCTTTAGCTGGTCCTGCGTCCACGTCGGCGTTTTAAGCTTTAGCAAAGTCGGAAAATCTGATCGGAAAGGAAACAAAACATGCAAACGTTAGATATAACAACGGCAAAACAAATCGGAAATCGTATAAAGTTTGTGGTTGCTTCGGGATAAATAGGAAATTGAAAACTCCCGCGTGAACCTAGCACACACTCACACACTATTGAAAAGAATAAAAAATCATACATCATAATTTAGTGCTAATTTAGTGTCCACTTCCTAATTTTAGTGCTCGTTTGGTTGAGCAGAAAATTGTAATTAAAAATAGCGGTGCTAAGTTTATAAAGCTAGCACCCCCACATTTAAATATTTAAACAAATTTAAAAAATAATATATCGGAATTTAGTGCTATTTTAGTGCTTTCGAATGCACTACTCAGAATTTTATTTAAGGTATTAATCTTAAAGATATTTGATAAAAACGTATTGGAGTCAATAGAAAAACAGATAAACATAGAAAAAATACATTTAAACATAGTAATAGGGAAACGATTTGGATCTCTAATTTTTTAATGATTTTAGTGCTTTTAAAGTAGTTAGTTAATGTAAGATTTTAGTACTCAACCCTTAAACCCAAAATATCACATTTTTACTATTATGTAGTCTGACATCCAAGAGTAAAGTATCATTAAAAATATAGATAGAAAAATGATTTTTGTTTCATATTCTTTGTTCATTTTAGTGCTTTTAAGATAGCTAAAGTCAGATTTTAGTACTCAACCCTTAAACCCAAAAAAATCACATTATTACCATTTTGTAGTCTGACCTCCAAGAGTAAAGTATCATTAAAAATAAACACACGAAGTATATCATTACTAAAAGTAAGTTTTGTTACAAAAAAAGTGAGAGATAGTTACACTACTTTCTGTAAACCTATTTGATTATGGATATTTTGTTGAAAGCCTTTATTACTGCATGCATATTTTTGAATTTATTTGTTGTATTTATGTAAATTTGTGTGTAAGTTCACTTAAACACCTTCCTATTTTTGTGCATCAATTATCTTTCCATTAATTTTAAGTTCAAGGGTTGAGCACTAAAATCTGACTTTAACTAAGTTAAAAGCACTAAAATCATTGAAAAATTAGAGATCAAAATCGTTTCTCTATTACTATGTTTAAATGTATTTTTTCTATGTTTATCTGTTTTTCTATTGACTCCAATACGTTTTTATCAAATATCTTTAAGATTAAAGCACTAAAATAGCACTAAATTTCGATATATTATTTTTTAATTTTGTTTAAATATTTAAATATGGTGGTGCTAGCTTTACAAACTTAGCACCGCCATTTTCAATCGCAATTTTCTGCTCAACCAGACGAGCACTAAAATTAGGAAGTGGGCACTAAATTAGCACTAAAATAGCACTAAATTATGTGTATGATTTTTTAATTTTTTTTGATGATGGGGGTGCTAGGTTAACGCGGGTAAATTAAAGGCGACCATAAACGAAGTATTTTTAAAAGTGCAGTAAAAATAAAATTGAAGCTACTAAAAAACAAACCAAAAATCACAGCAATCTATCGACAACTACTCAAGCACGATTAACAAACCTGTTTCTCGATTTTCCACAACTCAACGTGTAAAAAAAAGCGAAATATTAGAATTGTATTAACCCGCAGGTATTCCCGAACGCGTTTCCCCGCCGTTCGCCCGAACGAGAAATTGAAAAATTAGTTATTAGATAACTTTTCTCGTTTGCTTTACGGCTGTTTTCTTGTTGTTAATAGTTTTTACTTTATTGTGCTGTTTTCCCGGGAATTTCGATAATAAATATCTGTTGTAATATTTTCGACGTTCACATACGACACCGCGATAATTCATTACGTTACTTTTACCTATTATTTTACGACATTTCGACCACGAACTTTGGTAATACGAGCATTTCGGTTGGCATTACTGATTTTTCGACAGCGAGAACAGTTGGTAGTAACTAACCGCGAACCGAATAAATATAGGTTATGTCGATTCAATCGATTCATCGGATTCAATTACAAAATTAAAAACACCTTTATTTTCGTCACACATACGCCCGCATTGTTGTATTCTTAGATATATTCGATTAATCTCGGTACGCTATGGACCCCATTGATCTCCATTGTTAGAAAATAACATTATTTTTAATTAATAATTGATCCGCAGGAGGTCACTGCGTAAGTATTTCGAAAATAATGCCGACGAACAGAGTCGCAACTTCGAACAGTTCATTCGGTTTTATTCAATTTTGAATATTCTGTATGTTATATTAAATTTTGAGAGAATTATAGCATATTTCGAAACTTAGATACTGAAAAATATCCATAAATAAATAATGGTTAAATAATTGGAATTGGACAATTGAGTAATAAACGCTTGAATAATTAAATTACGTAGTTTCATTAAAATTATTACAATTGCAATGATAATATATTGATAATCCGCAACGGGGAAATCGAACGAAATTTTCACGTAGAGTATAATTTATTTACCATCATTGAATGAAGTGCACGTTTCTTTTCCAGGTTTCAACGTCGGAGACTTTGCGGGAATTAAATTTTAAAAGGCTATTGGTAAGTAGTTATAATTTTTTTAAATTTTCCCAATGAGTTTTTCGAGAGAGAAAAAGTTTAATTAACAAATCAAATCAATCGATTTTCCGCCTAAAAAAAATTTAATACATTGTTATCACGAATCCCCTTGCTTACCTACTTATTATCTAGTTTTGTTTTAATCCATAAAATATTTACGAAATCAGTTATAAAGAAAAGCTTTGATTGAAACGTTTTCCGTCAATAATTAATGGAAAAATCGATCGAGATGATCTTTTTTACTTGTATTTAAATCGCCTCGTCCCACCGACTTCCATGAAAATTTTCTCATAAAACAAAATGAAAAACGAATTATTAACGACGCTTTTAATAATGTATCGGTCTCGTTTCACCGGCAAGTTTGAAAATATTAAATCATGCATCGCAAATGAATCGAGTCAGTTCGGCTCCACCTCAAATAAATAAATAACTAAAAACATTTTCTATAGTTATTTTTATTCGCTCGCCTCGTCTATTATTCAAGGAAATTGCTTCCCAGTAACCAGTACAACGCTTTTCGATAACAACAATTTGCGCTGGCGTAATTATAGTTTTTTTTCTTCATTTTTTTACGGCAATTTTATAAAGAAAATAGGAACATTTTAATCGAAGCATGGAGGTTTTCTAATAGTTTATTTCGAATGTAAATCTAGGGGAAACGGTGGTAACACTGTTTTTTTTTTTCATCGAAAATAAATTGGCAATATGGTAGTAATTTTTGGGATTTATTCCAAGCAGTAAATGTTTATAATTAGTTGAACTTTAGTCTATAATAGTTTTTTTTTCCTCATTTTTTACGGCAATTTTATGAAGAAAATAGGAACATTTTAATCGAAGCATGGAGGTTTTCTAATAGTTTATTTCGAATGTAAATCTAGGGGAAACGGTGGTAACACTGTTTTTTTTTTCATCGAAAATAAGTTGGCAATATGCTAGTAATTTTTGGGATTTATTCCAAGCAGTAAATGTTTATAATTAGTTGAACTTTAGTCTATAATAAATTAATTTGGGATGTTATAAATGAAACGAGTTAAACGTTGGTAACACTGATCGAAAATTGGCATTATGTTAGTAATTTTTTGGTATTTATTTCAAGCCTAATGGGAACTTTATGAAGCAGTAAATGTTCATAAATAATGTAACTACCTAAAATGACGCTTTAAACCTAAATCTTTTATTTTTTTTTCTAATCTCCTCAACTGCGAGTATTTATGGGGCAATTTTAACGTGTATTACTGGTTGCCTAGCTCAAAGGGTGTTTATAAAACCCAAATTTTACTTTCTTTTGTGATTATATTTTTAATAAAATTAATTTGGGTAACGCCTCTGATGGGAGTTGCAGGCCTATATACAGGTAGCTGTTGCTAATAGTGCCTCTCAGTGGGTGTAAAATATTAATAAACATTTATGGGCTTCGGTGGATAAAAAGAGAGCAAGAACAACGAAATATCGTCGAGCAATGTGTGAGGTCTTTAGCCCGAACAATGAGATCTGTTATCGGAACTGGCTGAAAATTCGTTCGAGCACTAACTCGCGCCGTAAGTAATTTAAATTAGCTGTTATTCTTATTCTTAATCGTAAACAATACGATCTATTAGAAATGGATATAATATCGATAATGAACTATTATACACTCGGATAGTTTTTATAACGGTTTGAAAATAAATTTTACTGCCCTGCCGTTTCTGGTTTAATGCGCTTGTATTGCTGTAGATATATTTTTTTCCATTTCGCCATTGTGATTACTCGAAAGTGTTAATATCGCGTGAAGATCTTTTATGCGATATTGATTTATCGCCGAGGAAATTTTTAATCGCCTCCGTTTCAGTCTCACCGGCGATAATTTTAATTAAATTTTCACCGTATAAAAAACTAATTATCGCGAAAAATTCGTTAAAAAACTACTAACAGGCTGCCAACTAATTTATTGTTAGTGATGCCAACGTTTCCTCTAAAATTTCATTTACAGTTAAAAAAATCTATAACCGATAGGAATTTTATATGTAACCCTTTCGGGCCGTAAATTTACAATATCCATTAAATATTATATTAAAAACTATAACGTTTTATTCGCGGCCATTCGTCGTTAAGTTAACGTTTTTATTTTCGTTTAGCAACAGAGAACAACGGGATGTACAATGTACATTATACATGTTATTGTTTGTAATCCCGTTTTTACGGCCCTTTTTTTTATATTGCGACATTTTCTCCACGACTTCCAAGAACCAACCCGCAAAAATGTTATTGCGAAAATTTTATTTTCGCGCCTTTTCCTCCGATATATTCGAAATTTACGCGCTAATTCAACGCTCGAATTTTCATTTATTACAGTTAAAACAGAGTAAGTTAGGTCACAGTGTGTTGGGTTGCCTATATTTAGGTGTAAATAAGAGAACAAATAATAAAGTATTTTATTCTGTTGTGTAGATTTTTGTTAAAGTTAAGCACACAATTTAGATTTAATAATGTACGATGCATTTGGGTCGGGTAAATTATTATTTAAGGTGCCGTTATTTATTCGACTAAGCCGTTCATTAATTACTATTTAAATAATTAACATATAATAAAAAATGTAATATTTACAGGGCAAATACGACAACAAAAACCCAACTCGTCCTTTGTTTGCTTTTGAAATATGAATTACGTGTGTTTTATTGTTGCCGGCGCGGAATGTTTCTTGTTTTTCCCGAAATAAATTTTTATTTGTATGTATAAAGTTGCGTAATTTACCGTTAGGAAATTAATTGAGGTGTTTCTACGATATTTTTTATTTTTATTTTTTGGCTCGTCACTAAACAAACGTAAATTTTTCACGCGGTAAATATCATTTATATACTTACTTTGGGCGTTTAATTACGTAGGCGTATTTAGGCTGTTGGAAATAAATATTATTTGGTACATAATTATTGGAGATTTTGGCCTAATTTCGTTGAATAAATCGTTAAATTCTGATTAGTTTTCAATCAGTTGAAACTTACCGGCGATAGAAGAAGTGGAAGCACCTAACCAGGCGTGCGATGATTCTAATAATTTTGCCTGAAACAATAAAAAAATTTATTAATTTAATTTGTAAATACTCTTTCATAAAAATAACTAATTTTCATAAAAATATGAACGAATCTTTTTTCTTAGTGTATTCGCAAATAATTCATGATTACACTGAGAAAACAGTTTCGTAAATACCATCATACATTTAATCTATATTAAATAAAAAATGGGTACAAAATAAAACATTAATTTTACATAATTAGTTGCACGTAGTTTGCATGCAAACTGAATAAAAATAAATTAATTTCAATAAAACAAATTTCCGGTGAGAGAGCGTATATGCAAGAAACTATGTCAAACAAAAAGAAAAAAAACAACAGACACATACACAAGCATTACATTCTAAATAATTATAGTGATTATTTTAAAAGCTTTATATTCGCTCACTCTCCCAATTCTCATTACGTTCGCATTATTTTACTTTTCCGCTTAAAAAAATCGCTTGAATGTATATAGTATATACATAAAGCGTGTACTCGAAACAGGACTTGTTAATTTTTCGGACGTCTCCTCTTAGTTTAAGTAATTCTTTATGCGCTTTGTTGCATTTTTTAACGATTATACATTATACAAAACCCGACTACGGTTTCCGGCCCGAAAGACAGGCACGTATATTAAAAGCCGCTGCTATATTATAATGCCTTCTGTTTTCTTCATGTGAAGCGCGACGCTATAAAAACGCGTATCTTTTATGCGACATGTGTCTTTCACGAACGCAGAGCGAAGCGCATTCTTCAAATCGCTCCCCGAACGTCCCGAAGACAGGTCTGGAGTCTGGACCAACTGCAAGGGGAAATTGGCGCAGTCGATAGGATTTTTTACATACAAAATTAGCTCGGAAAATGGGGATTTTGCACACAAAATTGGCGCAGTCAATGGGATGTTTTATAACAGAGAATTGAAGCAGCCAAAAGGATTTTTTACATACAAAATTAGCTCTGAAAACTGAGATTTTTCTTACAAAATTGGCGCAGTCTATTGGATGTTTTATAACAGAGAATTGAAGCAGCCAAAAGGATTTTTTACATACAAAATTAGCTCTGAAAACTGGGATTTTTCTTACAAAATTGGCGCAGTCTATTGGATGTTTTATAACAGAGAATTGAAGCAGCCAAAAGGATTTTTTACATACAAAATTGGTACAGAAAATAGGGATTTTTGATATGAATTTATCACAATTAACGGGAGTTTTTGACGCAATAACTGGCATTTTTTCTACATAATTGATGTAGTCAATAGATCATAGAGAATTGGCGCAATCAATAGGGTTTTTACGTACAAAATTAGCTCTGAAAACTGGGATTTTTCTTACAAAATTGGCGCAGTCTATTGGATGTTTCATAACAGAGAATTGAAGCAACCAAAAGGATTTTTTACATACAAAATTGGTACAGAAAATAGGGATTTTGGATTTGAAATTATCATAATTAACGGAAGTTTTTGACGCAGTAACAGGCATTTTTCCTACATAACTAATGCAGTCAATAGATCATAGAGAATTGGCGCAGTCAATATGATTTCTTCCATACAAAATTGGTAAAGAAAATAGGCTCTTTTAATACAAAATTGAAGTAGTAAATGGGATTTTTCATACATAATTGATGCAGTCAATAAATCATACACAATTGCTGCACTTAATGAGTTTTTTTTCATAGAGAATTCACGCAGTAAATTGGATTTTTGTTATAAAGAATTGGCGCAGTCAGTAGGATGTTTCATAAATGTATAGAACAGACGCATCAGTTAATAGTATTAATATGTATAATTAATTTCGATAGGCCCACACGTACTAAAACAGCTCTTCCATTCTACATACGTAATTAATATACCGAAAACGAGAAACATCCAAATTACATGAAAAACGATGAATAACTTAGGGCGAAACACGTAGAACGGGCATGCATAATAAAAACATTGTTAGTGGACGTTTCTATAATGCATGAGAACAAATATAATCAAATATTAATAGGAATTAATATTTAATGGGGGTAAGAAGCGTGTAGATGACGTCACCGCCGGTGCGCGAATGCAAGGGCGAAAAATAAATAAGGGGTGGCAGATCCTTTTGAAGATATTCCTATGTTAAGGCGATGAATTTTTAAACATGTCCCAGATAAGTGTTGCAACTATGCTCTCGCTTGTGACCTTTTTTTCTACTTGTTTACGGCCTTTCCTTTTTTTTTGTCCATGTACTGCTTCCTTATTTATCAGAAAAACCCTAATAGCTTTTGTGGAAATGTACTTAGGAAGGCTATAAAAATTAGGGTATGAATTTTTTAATCCGTGTAATCACCTGTTTTTTCGCTAAAGTGAAGCAATACAGGCAGGGTACTAGGATATTCAACTTGAGGCTCTTTTACCTCGCGTTTTTATGACAAAAATGACGAAAATAACGAAAACAAAGTATAAAATACGAAATATATTTCCCCCGTTATTTGCCCGGTCTATTTGGACCACTTTCATGTTTTATTCGAGTCTATTTGGACAGTTTCATGTTTTATTTAGGTCAATTTGGACCACTTTCTTGTTTCACTTGAGTCTATTTGGGCCAGTTTCATGTTTAATGTAAGTCTATTTGGGCCAGTTTCATGTTTTATTTAGGTCTATTTGGACCACTTTCATGTTTTATTCGAGTCTATTTGAGCCAGTTTCATGTTTTATTTAGGTCTATTTGGACCACCATGGTGCGGTTTTTAATTCTTGAAAGGTTGTAGAGTAATTGTTGTAAGATTTCATGATTGCACTAAGAAAAGATGTAAAGAAATCTGTGAATTTTTACAAAAATATGAACGAAACTTTTTTTCTAGTGTACATTGCAACTAGTTAATGATTACACTGAGAAAACAGTTTCGTTAATTTTTAGATTAGGTACTCGAATTATACATTTTTGATTGCATAAAAGTCAACAATCCTACATAATTAGCAATACACAGAGGTAGCGAAAAAGAAATAGCGCACGTCCATGTTGATTAGAAACAAAGTATAAAATACGAAATATATTTCCCCCGTTATCTGCCCGGCCGGTCGGCGAAGAAGAAACTATTCATTTCTAAAGTGCTCGTACTTCCGAAGTAGCAGACAAGAAAATCATTATTTATATCTCTTGTGGCACCGCAATGATTTATAGAACTCGTAATCTTGATAAAAGTAAATTATAATAGTGAATTTCTTTGCGTGCCTCGGCGTCGACCGAACCTATTACGATGACAAAATGTATCATTACCCGAAAGGGGGAGTGGTGGGGTGAGAATCGAGAGGCGGCCACCGCGTTAAAACGATTTACTTATCGATAAATTTTATATAATATAATGTAGCGCAATAGAGTCCATCTTAACGGAGACCGTACGAATCGTTTCCGTTTTGGTTCTTTCGCGAAATTATACAGCTCGCGCCGTCCATTTATAATAACTGGAATTCTGGTTTAACTGTCGCCGGTTCCCGGAGCTTTACCGGAAACCCTCCGGGCCGTGGAAGTCGCTTACAATTCACACATCATTGCGGTAAATATAGGCAAAAAATTATCGGTTTACAGGCGACATGTGGTGACAAAAGTCATCGATATAACGAGACCGTAACGAGCCGGGATACTTCCTTCGTTTGCCAACACACACCCCATAATTTTTCTATATTGAAGTGTTAAATTAGCGCAACGGAACTGATAGATTTTCTGTAGCGCGTTTTTCAATCGCTCATCCAATTCTTAGTAACCGAATAATACCGAAATTATACACACAACGATTGTAGAGGATATATAAGTAATGATTACGCAGATTACTCGACAAACTGTAGAAATTTCCGCATAATATGAACGAATCTTTTTTTCTCATCATAGAGAATTGGCGAAATCAATCGGGTTTTTACGTACAAAATTAGCTCTGAAAACTGGGATTTTTCTTACAAAATTGGCGCAGTCTATTGGATGTTTTATAACAGAGAATTGAAGCAACCAAAAGGATTTTTTACATACAAAATTGGCACAGAAAATAGGGATTTTTGATTTGAAATTATCACAATTAACGGGAGTTTTTGACGCAGTAACAGGCATTTTCCCTACATAACTGATGCAGTCAAAACATCATAGATAATTGGCCCAGTCAATTCTTAGTATCCGAATAATACCGAAATTATACACACAACGATTGTAGAGGATATATAAGTAATGATTACGCAGATTACTCGACAAACTGTAGAAATTTCCGCATAATATGAACGAATCTTTTTTTCTAGTGTATCCGCAACTATTTACATGATTACACTAAGAAAACAGTTTCGTATAAATTTTCCAATTATTTTCTACCATCCAATTGATAACGGCAACATGGCGTGTTGCACACACTCATACAGTGTGTCCACGGGTGGGGTTGCCTATAGGAGAAAAATTTTTATTATTCGTTTTACGACAAAAAGTCATTGTTTATAAAAATGTTTGCTTCTTTTAAAAATGAGAATAACACTGAAAAATCTTAGATTGGATCTACAGGGTGTTGCCAAATTAAGAAAACATGAAAATACCTCAAGAGAGAAGTACCATTATTTTTTATTTTACACAAAATGTTTATAAAAGAAAGTTGTTTATAATCTAAAATAAAGCCTGAATACAAATTTTCAAATTAAAATTCCAATTTTGTGTGTCTACGGATGGAGTTGACCAGAGGAGAAAATGATTATTAATTTTATTAGAAAAAAGTAATTCTTTATAAAAAAGAGCATTAAAAGAGAGATTAAAAGCATTTTTTTGAAAATAATAATGTAAGATAATAAATAAATTCTTTCTATATGTAAGATAATAAAAATTCTTTCGTTCTTTCTTGACATTTTTTCCTGTTTCTTAATTTACTAACACCCTATACGTCTTATTTAATGTTTTGATATGTGAATTTCATTTTCTCGACAAGTTAATTTTTTTATAAAGAATGTCTTTTCGTCGTAAAATTAATAATAACCATTTTTCTTATCTGGTCAACTTTATCTAGGGACACACAAAATTTGAATTTAAGTTTGCAAATTTGTATTCAGACTTTATTTTAGATTATAAACAACTTTCTTTCATAAAAAATTTTGTGTACAATAAAAAATAATGGTACTTCCCTCTTGATGTATTTTCATGTTTTCTTAATTTGACAACACCCTGTAGATCCAATCTAAGATTTTTCAGTGTTATTCTCATTTTTAAAAGAAGCAACAATTTTTATAAACAATGACTTTTTGTCGTAAAATGAATAATAAAAATTTTTCCTCCTATAGGCAACCCCATCCGTGGACACACTGTATAAGTAATGATTATGCAGATTACTCGACAAACTGTAGAAATTTCCGCATAATATGAACGAATCTTTTTTTCCAGTGTAACCGCAACTATTTACATGATTACACTAAGAAAACAGTTTCGTATAAAATTTCCAATTATCTACCATCCAATTGACAACGGCAACATGGCGTGTTGCACACACTAATATATTTTAAATCCGAATACAATCCAGATGCAAGCGTGCGTGCGTTTGTTGTAAACGTGTGTGTACACATTAAACGTTATAGAACATTGTAGTAACGTGTTCGACGTCCGGCCTTTCTGACTCTGACATCTCATCTCGTCCGCTCGCTCGCGCGACAACTCGTCACCCGCCACCGGCGGGCGATCGCCCGCCGAATGGAGCGAAACGCACGGTAGAAATGAAAATAGGTAGAAAAAAAAAACGGCGGGAAACGCGTCGTGGCGAGTCGTACCTAATTTGCGAGCGGCGACAGGCGAAGGAATTATCGCGCACAAAGGTGCTAAAAGCTCGCGGGAGAGAGGAGTAGATTTGCTCGCCTACTGGTCGCGAGAGCGCTCCAATTCGTTCGTGATTTATCGGCTGTAAACGCAAGGAAAGAGGATTTTTGTGTTTTGATTAATTACAGTCGCCGAGATGGTTGCAAATGTGTTTTTGAAAACATCCTGTAGTGTTGGAAAATAAACTAGCTAGCTAGGATTGCTCAATCTTCTATAAGTAAAGATTGTTGTAATCTCTTTGGTGATGTTAACGGGTGGACCATAAAATATAATAACAACGGCAAATCTTAAGGTTTTAGGCATATTAACTATGTTATTTTTAATATCGAGGAAATGTTACTTTAATTTGGGTTAGATGTAGATATTATTTGAGTCCATTTGGACCAGTTTCGTGTTTTATTTAGGTCAATTTGGACCACTTTCATGTTTTACTTGAGTCCATTTGGGCCAGTTTCATGTTTTATTTAGGTCTATTTTGATTAGTTTTATGTTTTATTTAGACCACTATTTAGTCTATTTAGTCTATTTAGACCACTTTCATATTTTATTGGAGTCTGTTTGGACCAGTACCATGTTTTACTTGAGTCTATTTGGACCAGTTTCATGTTTTATTAGGTCAATTTGGACCACTTTCATGTTTTACTTGAGTCCATTTGGGCCAGTTTCATGTTTTATTTAGGTCTATTTGGATTAGTTTTATGTTTTATTTAGACCACTATTTAGTCTATTTAGACTATTTAGACCACTTTCATATTTTATTGGAGTCTGTTTGGACCAGTACCGTGTCTTACTTGAGTCTATTTGGACCAGTTTCATGTTTTATTAGGTCAATTTGGACCACTTTCATGTTTTACTTGAATCCAGTTGGGCCAGTTTCATGTTTTATTTAGGTCTATTTGGATTAGTTTTATGTTTTATTTAGACCACTATTTAGTCTATTTAGACTATTTAGACCACTTTCATATTTTATTGGAGTCTGTTTGGACCAGTACCATGTTTTACTTGAGTCTATTTGGACCAGTTTCATGTTTTATTAGGTCAATTTGGACCACTTTCATGTTTTACTTGAATCCAGTTGGGCCAGTTTCATGTTTTATTTAAGTCTATTTGGATTAGTTTTATGTTTTATTTAGACCACTATTTAGTCTATTTAGTCTATTTAGACCACTTTCATATTTTATTCGAGTCTATTTGGACCAGTACCATGTTTTACTTGAGTCTATTTGGACCAGTTTCATGTTTTATTTAGGCCAGGCTAGACCACTTTCATGTTTTAGTTGGTCTACTTGGACCACTTTAATGTTTTACTTGAGTCTGTTTGGACCAGTTTCATGTTTTATCTAGGTCAATTTTGACCATTTTCTTGTTTTTCTTGGGTCTATTTGGACCAGTATACCTATTACGTTTTACTTGAGCCTATTTGGACCACTTTACAATTTCCTATCCTACAGTTAAAAGTTCCTAAACCGACAAAAGATCAACTATATTGTATAAAGAAAGCGATAATGCATACTATAATATAACCACTACGCCATATTTAAGTACAGTATCGAAACGCATTTGGTAACCAAGACATGCAGGATCGTTTCGCGACATATTCTCGTCTAATTACACTGCATTACCGGTAATTACCCGTTTGGCAAACGACCAATTGGGCGTCGAAGCCACGTGACGTACGATTCCCCCCCCGAACCCGCCCCCACCTGCGCTCGTACCGCACCCACCGCCATTAAGTACCCGCCTCGAGCAATTATCTCGCGTCGTTCTAATTGTTTTATTCTTTTTATTCGGTTTTTGTATTATCCCGCGTTTCTCCTTGTATGACTTATAATCGACGGCGGTTGTGCCGCTAATTTATGGCGGCGGTAAAACGTGCGGCGGTTCGATATAAATGTCGAATGTGAATGGCACATCGCGCGCCCGTTCGCGATAAATTGTTTATAAAATGTTTGCCTACGGAACGTGTAGCCGATGATAAACTTCGGTCGAGTTAATTTGTTCGGAGTTTTCGATTGCCCGGGGAATTACCAGGTCCTCTAATGATGCTATTATAACCTTGCGGGTGCGGCGCAATATGAGCACATTAATGGAATTCTTTTAGAAATATTAGTATGTTTGTTTCAAAGTTTTATACACTGCGCAAGTAATATTCGTTGCTTTAGCTATTCTGCGATTAGCTGTAGATTATTAAAGTTCTTATGACAGTTTTTGAAGTGGGTGTACTGCGCATATGACCTTCGATTCTTCAGCTATTCTCGTCGGTCTGTACATAAAGTTTCTATCTAAGGCGATTGAGTATAACACAAATCGAGTACAATTCT